GCTACATCCATACATGATGTATTCCTACATTACTCACTGTTACTATATCCATACATGATGTATTCCTACATTACTCACTGTTACTATATCCAGACATGATGTATTCCTACATTACTCACTGTTACTATATCCATACATGATGTATTACATACACTACTAACTATCACTGTTACACAATGTATTATAATCATGAATGGATGCTTATGAATAAATACATGGACTATAATTAGAAATTTCTTCTGCATAGTCATAGTCAAATCAAAACACACATCTACAAGATACATGCAGCTAGGCAGTGCAAGCAATAACTACGTCATGAATTCATGCAATATTGTATAATGATTACCTTCATCTCCTATACCAAACAGCAACCATGACAAAAAGCAACAAGTCAAAAGAAGATAGAGTGAAAAGTATTTAACATGATATGCATTATGCGTCTTCCCAATGACCACTGGGGGCAGTATACAAAAACCAGAAGAATATATAGACACCTTAATCCCTACAGAAGTGTGTTTAAAACAATTCAGAAGACATGCAAATTATATTGTAAGAGATACAGCTGAAAGCTAATTAACACAATACACTCACAATTGCACGCAATAATTATCATGTAAAACTATATCTGATAGGACATGTGTAGAGGCATGCTTTTATTTCCTATCCACTGAAACTACATGTATTATCTAATCTACTATCTAATTTTGATAAAAAAAATTTATCTCTAAAAGTACTGGGGGTAGCAACAACAATCACTTTTACAGAATGTACCAGATATATACATATTTCCTTAAAAAAACAGTTAATATTTGACAAAGTTCAAACACACAAGAAGACAATGACATGCAATATATGGCTTGCATTATGTTCTGTAGTTGTAGGCATGCTGGAATATTAACATGCAATACCTTGGACATCAATGAAATTAACAAAATCAAGCTCTGGAATTTAATAGAATTCAGATTTTTAATATGATGAAGATTAGGAAAGGAAAGCAATAGAACAGTACAGTGGTGTCGCTAGACATGAGAATCCATGATTTAACTATCTCTCTATTTAATTATTTATTGTTCATTGTTTTATCAACAAAATTTATTTCCCTGCATATGTTTATAAAATTATTTTACAAATACATGTAGATAAAATATACAATAATAATAACTATATGGCTTCCCAGACATTTCAAAGTGGTTGTTATACAGCAAGTGGTAATAGAGCTGCAGATATGGATATGTTGACTGACTATTCTTACCTGAACTTTTCACTGATTTAGCACTAGCAGCAGAACCTTGCCTGGATCCTCTGCTGTTTCTCAGTATACCCGTACCAGGGCGAGATCCTGGAGCACTGCTAGCAGGAGATGACTGATTTGGTTTATCAGGAGATGCTGCCACCTGTGACTTCACACCATCTAAAAAAAAAAAACACTCTGTATTATTATTATTATTATTATTATTATTATTATTATTATTATTATTATACATCAAAAACAATAGAATTTTGTGTTCTGTAATAAGAACTTGTTTGAATGTTTGAATTTTCCTTTTGATACAAATGATGGCACACTGGTTGTTATATACACTAAGCAAACTTTGTAATAATATTCAGAATTGAGCAGTAATACATCAGTAATGTGTATGTATTCTATATATTGTCAACATAAGTACATTATTCATCATGGTCAAGAAATAGCAAATTCTTACATGTTTGATATTAAGTAACCCCTTTAGTTAACCTTGATACAAATGTAGGTCAAGTATTCCACCATGATAATTGTACTCCTTCACAGAAAATATTTTGTTATTTTGTTTCATACCTTTAAGCGTGTCTATATCTTGTTCCAATATAGCTTCCAACAGTTTGCCACTACTGACTGATTCAGAGCAGCTTGCCTCTGCTGATCTCAATCGTCTTAAGTTTTTAAAATAAGGATAAGGATCATCCCAAGGAATCAGTTCATCCATATTACCATGGATTAATTGGCCAAATTCATCTGTTGATTTCAACTCTAAGCTTTCAAATACAAACTGCTTAAATGCTCGGTTGATTTCAGATTGGGACAGAACACCACTAGCACAGAACTGTACCAATTCTTGTAATCGGGATGCTCTTTCTTTGACTGTAATGGATGAAGGTTTGGTGAATTCTTTCAATATTGCTGAGGGTGTGTAATCTAGTAACTGATACTCTGCCTCCAATGGAGAAAAGCCATGAATAGTTTTCAAATGGTGAAGACGACTTCCAATATCATCACCAAAATGATATAAATATGGTTTGTTTCCATCTGTCTTACATTGCTTCTCTGGAGTATTGAGTTCTTGGCATAAGCTCTGAAAATGAAAGAAACACATTTCATTAATTATTATTATATATCAGACAATAAAATAGAATAAAATTAATTAACCCATCCGTAAAAAGTGTTTGGAATTGTTACAAACATGTTCGAATATTTTCTTTATTTGGTAATTGTGAGTCACATTTACATCACATTTGAACACTTTCCTTTGTTTCCTTCAGCCACAGATGTGCTTACCTCTCATTAAACTATTACCACAAGGAGGGAAAAGATGTATAATAAAAAGTTTATCACAAGCATACCGCAACGTATTCACTCAGGCAGTACAGTAACACATCTACCTTCACGCCACTGTACTGCCTTCATGCATACGAGCTGATATTCTTGTAATAACCTCATAATACACAACTGAGTTAGACACTGGAAATGAAATGAAATGCTAATATTGTAATAACACGGAAAGTAATTTTCCACTCTCTCTCTCTTGCTGCAAAATAACTTTGAACTCAAATTTTTTTTTCATAGCTCAATTTTTCAGATTGTGTTGAGGCACCTTTACTTCATAACAATTGACCAAAATCAAATGTGTACAGCACATTATTAATACTTCACTGATGGCATTCAACTCTGAACTTTCACTATAAATATCCCCTCTCCCTAGTGTAAAACGTCTAGTCTGCCTGTCAAGATTTATGGTCATAATGAATGCATACTGTATCCTGTACAGTGTACCAACTTGAGACACGTTTGTTTGTTTTCAGTGAAAAATCAATGCCTGCTTTATGCTGGTAGTATTTATGTCACATTCGAACACTGTTTGGACACAGCATTATAGGCTCTGATATCTCACTGAAATATGATTTTAAGATGTATACAAACTCGGGCAGTATGGCTGTAATCGCTTTGGTTATATATTGTACAATGCACTCACCTGCTGGTCTTCTCTGTTAAGACCCAATTTTGTAGCCACACAGCTGACATGTTTGGCTAATATATGATCTAAGCCATCTTCACGTGGTAATTTAGGAATATCACTCGGAATTTCTTTATCTTCTTCTGTTGCTACAATCTAAATGAATAAAGAGACATGGAATACATTGTATAACTACTGTTGTCTCTAGTTATATGTAGTTATGATGAAGGAGATCTGTAACCAGTGTGGTTTCTAGTTATATGTAATTATGATGACAGAGATTTGTAACCAGTGTGGTCTCTAGTTATATGTAGTTGTAATGACAGAGATCTGTAACCAGTGTGGTCTCTAGTTATATGTAGTTGTAATGACAGAGATCTGTAACCAGTGTAGTTTCTAGTTATATGTAGTTATGATGACAGAGATTTGTAACCAGTGTGGTCTCTAGTTATAATGACAGAGATCTGTAACCAGTGTGGTTTCTAGTTATATGTAGTTATGATGAAGGAGATCTGTAACCAGTGTGGTTTCTAGTTATATGTAGTTATGATGACAGAGATCTGTAACCAGTGTGGTTTCTAGTTATATGTAGTTATGATGAAGGAGATCTGTAACCAGTGTGGTTTCTAGTTATATGTAGTTATGATGAAGGAGATCTGTAACCAGTGTGGTTTCTAGTTATATGTAGTTATGATGACAGAGATCTGTAACCAGTGTGGTTTCTAGTTATATGTAGTTATGATGAAGGAGATTTGTAACCAGTGTGGTTTCTAGTTATATGTAGTTATGATGAAGGAGATCTGTAACCAGTGTGGTTTTTAGTTATATGTAGTTATGATGAAGGAGATCTGTAACCAGTGTGGTTTCTAGTTATATGTAGTTATGATGACAGAGATTTGAAACTACTTGTGTATCAACTGCACACTTAAAATGACTGGAGAAATTCTGAGGTTTACATAAGTTTTCAGTTTACTATATTTGCTGTATTAGAAACAACATTTTTGTATGATTTGAATTATACTAATAATGTGACACTGATGCATTAATGCTAAATTTTGTATTTGTAATCTGTTGAGACAGGTTTCTAGTTTACATTTTACAGTTGCCCCTCAATGTATTGTCTGAAATATATATACCTGTTCTAACATACAATTAACTATGAGAGGTACACTCATACTCTCATGTGGTACAGAGTTCATAAGATGGTTATAATATCTCATATCAGTTTCAGGTGGTGGTAGCGATGAAATATCAGTAGGCACAATAGTAGGCACACCAACTGTAGTAGGTGCAGTGGTTGTTCCTGGAACAGGAGCTGACATTCCAGATGGTGCTTCAGATACAGCTACAAAGAAAAGTATTTAACAATAATTATTTATGATCATTGTGGCCTGTAGTTGGCAAACACATCACCAGTTGATGTCCTGGCTATTTGTAGAGGCTTTCAGCTGGCAATGTGATAACGCTGAATGCAATGAGTAATTATAGTGTTGTAGTCTACTTGACCTTGTTGGTCAACAAGTTTTATTAGCTATTCAAGATACTGATACTGATGTAACACCTGTATCAATACTTGGCCTGTAAATCCAGTGAATGTCTTATGAGGTATGAAAGAGAAATTTACTTGTCATATTAGTATAAATAATATGGTTCACAAATTGAAGTATGGAGTTTAAATTGAGGGAATGGTACTGCAACACTGCAATCATGAAAGCAGGCCAGAAAATCCACTCTGGATTGACCAACTGAATACACAGGGATGAATTCATGCACTGGGTTGATTAGAATGCTGGTAGAGTGGGAGGGAACCACAAACAGCAACCATGCACACACTATAAGGTGCAATTTTTAGTTTACCAGAAAGTAGACTGTTACGTCTTGGCAGTCCATGAGTTCCTTTAAAATTAATGGTGGTCAAATGAGAAGATTGGTTACAAGTACATTGTAGTAACAGATATCCAGTTATAAGTTCACAATACCCTTATACACAATGTATACTCAAATGCATCAATCTTAGGAATTCAGAACTGAATAGTAAACTGAACTGAAGTATACACTGTATTTTACACTGTACTAAATGTATAACACTCAGCTTACTGGTAGTAAGATCAACATGATATTGGTGTATGTAAGTTCTGACCTAAGGCCCACTATTGGATTACATGGTGGGTGTGGCTATTGCTGTCCTCACCATATGCAAATCTAGGTTTACCTCAGGCTCACCTAAGGCCCACCATTGGATTACTTGGTGAGTGTGGGTGCTCCTGTTCTCATCACATGTAGCCCAGGCTTACCTCTGGCTCACTCAAAGGTACTACTGGCTAGATTTATGTGATGTTTGTCATACATTTCATCACACAGAGCAAATATATTTCACATAATACATTAATGTTATAGTGAAATTATACTGTACACTGCTACCATGTACAGACATTAACTATTGTATCTATCCTTGGTTTCTACTTCTAAAAAAAAATGTCATTATAAATAAAGTGATATTAAATTGGATACTTAGAAAGAGCTATCTCTGTGTTATTTAAAAGTTGATGATACTAACCAATTAGCATGGTATATTTGATCATGTGACATGTTAAACCTAGATTGCCGTGCATTATATTAATATAGTCTATGTCTCATAACACAGTAGCTGTAACTTTACACTCAATTCATATTCAAAGATAAATAAATAATTGTTTGTGAGGCAACACATTGTTAAAATACACAGTTTTTCTTCAAGTTTATTATCTTTTCTGTGATCTAACATGATATTGTATATAGTTACAGCAACCAGTCATTGAATGTTAATTTCTACATAAGTGTGAAGAAATAGTGATATTATACAGTTAAAAAAAATGATTTTAAGAAACAATAAAAAGTCCACAGCAAACTTACTTTTGTGACCAGCACCTTGACCAAAGGTGACTCCTGGTTGGAGTAAATAGTTAAAAAAAAAAAGCACACAAAAATGAAAGCATGAGAAAGAAAACAATCTGAGAATGGAATGAGATATCATGATATGAGTAACAGAATATTATCAAACTAAAACAAAGGAGAGCACTCAAAAAAAAAAATTCACAATTATAATTCAAATTCAGACAGGGAGAGAGAGGAGGTAAAATGGGAACAAATAAAGCAATAACACAGGTTTAAAAAAAAATATTCAAAAGGTAGTGAAGTATAAACAAACTGAGCAAATGCATCAATATTTATGAGTCGTTGTTGTTTGGTACTGTTACCTGGTAGAATAGTTCTTTCAGACATAATTATACTGGATACTGATTGTAAGCATTGAAAAATAAACACACTAATATTCATATCAACAATGAATTCTCAGAAAGATCACTTGTTTACAAGTCTGGCAGGGCATGTATGAGGCAATTGGTAATTCCAAAAAAACTGTACTATGCAACAAATGTTATTTACTGCAACTCCTGTAAAATGTGTAACTATATATACACTGAACATAACTAGACCACTGTCAACATTACAAAGCTCACAGAAAAAAGTCAACTGAATTTAAAATACACTTGCTACTCAATGCATGACAGTTACCTCACAGCGTCTCACAACAAATATTACTGTTTCAGCCATCAATATTGTACTTACCAGTTGGTGCAACAGCAGGTATACCAGTAGCTATGGGCACATTAATTAAATTCATATTGTATAAATAAGTATGATATTGTCTCTTCCAATCCAGTAAATCATACATCTGACATGCAACGTCTTCAAACAAAACTGTACCAAATGCCGTCTGCAATTGATAAATATAGGTACAAGAAAGTGTCATTGCAATCAACCTTATATTAATATATATTACTAGTAGCTTCGCGGTGAGTGGCTTTCGCGGTAATTGGGTTTCGTATCTGTAGGGTTTTGCGGGGAGTAGGGCTTTGTCTCGGTAACTGTTCCTTTCATCCTTGTTGAGAATTAAAGTTTTATGTTTCTTTAACAACTGGCACTACTCTGGGAATACCATCCTAGCAGGAGTTCCAAAATAAGACCCATGCTCTGATAATGCCTCTAGTTTCAGAGACCAATAAACATTACCATTATGATCTTATTGATGTTGCAAAGGATAGCAGTCAGTGTTATTTACGAAAATACTGTAGAATACTTTATTTTTGCTTGGAATTTATTTTTGCTATTTTCGCTGAAGGGATGATTCCGTGAAAATAAAATTCAGCGAATATACTTTTTTTTTCTATATTTCACATTAAACTCATCAAAAATCAGTAAAAATAAATTCCATACAAAACGCCCAAAAAGCCTTTTCAGCAAAAATTAATTCCAGCGAAAATAAAGTATTCCACAGTGTTTGTTTATAATTTTATAAACTTGCTTGGCAATACCCATCCCAATTAGACATAATTTGACACAATCTGGGAAGTTCGAATTACTAAATGAAGGATGACGAAGCTGAAATATCCAAGAACCAACACATACCAAAAATCTCAAAAGTGAATATTCGTGGTGTATTTTAATTCTAATCGGACCAGAAGTGGGAAATTGTTTGTACTCTAAATAACATATTGGCGATCCGCTCTGCTAGGATTGCCATTAAAATCACGGTTTTAGTTATAAACTGAAGTTAGCTTCACATTCATGTCCAAAACCAAAAGCATGTTGCTTGCTTTTTGAGCAGAGCGGAACGCCAACCAGCCTACCGGCTGTGTGTATGATTCCCACAGTTTTCACGTATTAATTCTTCTGTGATTTTTCTGGCTTGGCCGATTTCACTCAAATGTGGCAGGTATGTATGTGCCAAATGTATCTCCTCCTACAAATTCAGGGTAAAACATTTCAGACATAGCTCATTCTACTCAGCTTGAGTGTGGGCACAAAATTACTATTTGAATTTTTGGTATCTTCTTTCATTACCGAGAAATGTGACCCCAAAGTTGGGGTTATTTATTGTTCACCAAGAATTGCTTTTTAACTCTTCTGTGATTTTTTTGGCTTGGCTGATTTTGTTCATACTTGACAGGCAGGTCGTACCACCACTAATAATTGGAATACATTCGCCCCAAATTTATTACTTCTTACCAGCCTTGTAATAGCAGTGTTGCCTGCACACCGGTAAGAGATCACCGGCGCCGACATTATTACACTGTATCAATGTAATCCCAACGCAACTTTGAATGAACTGTAAATGCTGCCTTCAATCTAGAAAATACTATTGCAAATCGGATGGAAATATTAAATTTAACAGCAGAATACGTCTTACCAATAAAATAAAGTGACTTCTAAAGACAGAGTGTTTTTTTGGCGAACTTCATATATGGTGCCCGATGCCTACCGTGGCAACAGCCGAAAACATGTCGCTTGTTTTTTGAGCAGGGCCGATCACCAACCAGCCTACTGGCTTGTTTTAGTATAAGCTAATAACAACTTGTTAATAATTATGGGATGATTTGTAGGCATAAGATTGTTATGTGAACTTCGTTCATTAATGGAATACTGTGCGATGACGCTATTTTCAGGGCCTAACTGATTCAGGCTCTTATATTGACTATGTCCCGAGCTGTTTACTAGTACCAACCTACTTACTTGTCAGTGTCTAACTGTTATATACAGCCCAGAACACATCAGAATAGTAAAAAAAAGTCAGCTATTGTCAGGAACTGTAAAACGCACTTTATGGTACGCGACTTAAAAACGCAATTTACACGTGAATTTCCCAACAACGATATAAATGTTAGTTGTATGTGGTGTGGCACTAGTGTGGAAAGCTGTCGAATAAAATGGCAACAACCTTCAAATGCATTGTTATGCTAATTTGATTTCCGGCATGTTAGTTGTCAAAGAAATGAAAGATTTCTTGAAAAATGAAGACCTTGAACGTACTTTTTGGACTTTAGTACAACGTCATTTTTGTTTGATTACCTAACGTTTTTAGGTTCATGTGCTGTAAGTTACAGAGCACATACCTAAGCAGCCGTCCCTCAGCAAATAATGAAGCGAAGGCATTTTCAATGTCAAAATCGCAAAACTCTCCCTTTTTACGCAAACTGGAAAGTTCAAATTACTAAACGAAGTACAGGACGACGAAGCTTAGATATCCAAGAACCAACACATACCAAAAATTATATCTCAAAAGTGAATATTCGTGGTGTATTTTAAGTCTAATCAGACCACAAGTTGGAATTCGTTAGTACTCTAAATATCCAAATATATTTTAGTATAAGGTAGTAATTATACATCTGTCACCGTAATGCCATAATTGACAGCGTGCTGAATTTTGCGGTATTTTACAGGGTATTTTCATCCTACCATATTAGGAAATGCGAATTCCAAATATGGAATGATTACACGCTCTAATATCCGGTCAGTCAAAATGACTATTTTGAGCTGTAGGCATTAATCAGCGATACTGCCAATGACGGACAGATAGAATCTAGGTCAGGGGAAGCCCCATGACCCCAGGATTCTTTTCTCTTATGTCATGAACCACGTGCCCGAGGCCATATGGCGGCACTAATACGGCTGGCTAATCACTCTGGTTACATTCTCTCAACCTCAAGGACTTTGACCAACGGTACGGAAGGAGTGGGATGGTGGGGGGGGGGGGGGGTTGAGTCTATGGTGGGTATGAACTATGAAAATAGGCGGGTTCGGAGAACTCTCTGCCTAAATTCACTACGTTCAATTACCCACCATAGACTCCGGTCAGTCAAAATGACTATTTTGAACTGTAGGCAGAGTCAGACACCGATAGGTGGCGGGTTTTACGAGCAAACAGAAAAATGATGAAAGTCTTTTCCCAGTTCGGGATGAAACACTCTATAGTAATCACTCAACACCTTAGTTAAGACCCAAAAAGGGTGGTGTCTTACCTTGCCTGTGCTGTCCCCGGAGTGCTGATGGTATAGAAATCTGTCCGCAAAAAATGCAGAGACTGACATATTGCCTATGCGCGGGGACCCTTGTGGTCGTTCGGGCTGGGTCAGCAAACCATGACTGACCAGCTATGACGAGACCCAACCTAAAGAGACCCTCCTCA